CGCATGCTCCAAGGAACAAATCCGAAAGCAAAGGGCTAGCGTGCGCCGTATTTGCAGCTGTGCTTGACCGCAAGGCGGTTCAATCCAAAGGGGGCAGGTTAAGGCCCCATTCGATTGGCCGGACAAGTTGGCACCAGAATAACGATATATAACGTTGGCATTGACAAAAAAAGCGGAGAGTCACAAAAAGAAAGGTGGCCTGGCAAGCTGCCGCTGTTTCGCACCGATGCCGCAGGTGTCTGCATCTTGTGCTGACTTGAAACCGCACAAGCTCGTCCAAGCTGCCTTGCTGATCCACCATTCAGGCAAGTCCCTCCCGGGCTTCGCTTTGGAACCTGGGACACCTATCCGAAAAGGCGACATCATGCGACATCTAAGGATCGCTGTACATGGCGCCGTCTTTGGCTTCCAGTCTCAAACTTCCAGACTAACTTGTCCGAGTGGAGTGGCGATCGCTCAAAAAGCCTTCGCAGTACTCACAAGGGTCCCCTCAGAGGCCTGCAGGCCCAGCCACAAGCCAAACACACAACGACACAAAAACAAAAATCCAACTCCCGAACATGCAAACGTTTTTCGGCATGCTTGATCTTACCAGTCTTATCGCATGTTTTCAAGCAATTCACTGCCACACTCGCGCAGCCACGATGATGCTGGATCCGGCGCACCGGATGGAGCAGCCTGCGGAAGGGTAGGATCACATGCTGAATGGGAGTTTGCCGCCAACAAACCCAGCAATCAACATTGGGCCACACCAAACCAGGCAGTCCTGCGATGTGTCAACAAGGGGTGACATGCTGAAGGAGAGCCGTTTGTAATCGATTCAGCTGGCTGCCCATCACAGTTTCCCAAACTGGGGAACCCACAACCCTACTCGTGATGGCGTTTCGGCTTCCTCAAGCCGACAGGTGGGTGTGTGTGTGTGTGTGATTTTAGAGCCCCGAACACTTCCAACCAGACCATGTCGTAAACTCGTGACCGCATGTTTTCGCCAAGCAACGCACCCAGCAACCCACAAGCAGACCTTCAGCTGCAATTTTCCAGACTCCTGACTTCATTTGTTCCCAGCCAAGCAACCAGCCCAGCCACAAGCCTTCACAATGCGGAGAGTATGGGTCCGGCTTCACAGGGGAAGGTCAGCCACGTCCTCCCCATGCCGCTGGGCAGGCCCGAGGTCATACTCAGCACGTTGTGGCGCCGGAGCTCGGCGGGCGGCGCCTAACGAGCTCGGAGCGTGTGGAGTTGGTCGCCGGTTTTTGTTGGGTGCTGTAAATCCCCCAGTAAAAAGCTTCACTTTTTGCAGGTTAAAAGGAAATATGAGGGGAATTCAAAAAGTCAAAGTCTAAAGATCCAACCCAACAGTAGAGTTGTGGGGGCTCCAGGGAAACCACCCGAAGGAACATCTACCTTTTTGGAGGGTTCCCGAGACAAATTGATTTGGGCCTATTGAATCTGAAAAATGGAGGAGCCCTGCTTGGATAGCTGGATGGGATCGAAAGGAAACCTGCTATGTCTTGGTTGTCCCGTCTTCTTGGACTGGTTTACAGTAAACACCAGTAAACGTTTTATCGGGGCCATGTAATCCAGTCATTGTTACCGTCCTTGCCCTCTCCAACTTGCTCCAGCCACGTGTAGCAACAAGCGTCAACATGAAGCACAAGCACGCACGGCCGTTGCCTTACATGAACGGCCACCCGCATGCTTCACAAATCGCAAATCATGCCTTTGTTTAACCCCGATAAATTGCGAGGAACCCGGGATAAAACCTAAAGATGTTTTAACAACCAAAGTATTTTTGTTTCGGTATACCTCTGGTTTTCGTGGAAGCTCGGCGAAGGGAAGCAAAGACCGGAACCAACTATTGGACAATCATACAAGCCAACAGACAACTTGCAAACATCTCCTGTGGACAGTTTCTACAGGCAACTTGCCAACACCCACCTAAAACACAGATTTCCTGTAGGACTGCGGCTGGCTACTTAGAGACAATGAAAGGCCAATTGACTAAGAGCAAGGTAGGGTTCCCAAAAGCCAATGGGCTGACCAACAAGAGCATCCCCATTAACTAGTTCCATTGCCAAATCAAGGTTGCTGAGTCGATTGGCAAAAAAGCAACTGTGGAAGACCCACAGCACACATACAAACGTGTCACAGCCGGACTGACGTTTTCAGAGTCACTCCAACCAGCCCCCATGACCCATACAGCTCAATGGAGACCCTGAATGAGGGATCCATGCATGTGATTGCCAAGGTCGACTCAAGCACGGTTGATTTCCGAAAACGGGCGCCGGGTGTAAGCCTCGGGTCATGCCAAAAAAACGCACCCCACAAGAAACTTCCATGCCGCATCTAAGTGAAAAGCGGAAGTCGGGGGCAATTGGGCTAGGATTTTCTAAATATCCCTGGCCCTGCCTGCGTGGGCCTTGCGGTTCAATCCGCCATCAAAACAATGGGGGTTAGTAGAACCACCTTTATTTGCCAAAAAATGTTCATTATCCAAATTGGGTCAACTGCTCTTTTCATGCAGGTTGAACCCCAGGGTGGGAGAAAACAAAAAGAACAAAAAAAAAGCGGCTTCGGATGCCCCGGGCCTGATAGGAATCAGCCATGCTCCTGAGCACCGAGTAGGCGCTTTTGAAAGAGCTCCGCCGGAGGTCCAACTCCTTCACCTCCGGCAAGTTCCGAAGGTCTCGTTCCTCCGAGCGCGCGCCCAGGCTGTGCCAAGTGAGACCATAAAGGCTGGACGGCATTGAATTGACCATCAAGTTTGTTTTTTTTGGCTCAGCATGCTGATGTGCGCATGAAACAAGTTGATGAGTCGAGGCTTGAGGTTTGTGCTGGCAGTGCTGTTCATCTCTTCTTGTCCATGCCATGCCCAACACACACACAGAAAACACAAAGCAAATGTCCAAGTCACAAAATTGCGGCTCCAGGCACTTGATGATTCAAAGAACCCTAAACCCTAAGTACCACAATCATGCAATGCATAACTACACAAGATCGCTAAAGTAGGTTGACTTATCCCCGTGCTTGATCAAAGTATCACCTATTCTTGGCACCCTCGCAACTGCTTACCTCGAAAGCTTTGCAAATTCTACAAGCCGACAAGAAACACACGGACTTCTTCATGGGTCCTGGTATTTCTGATACTGACCTGCTGCCCGGCCAGCGCTTAACAACCCCGAGTAGACACTTCAAACAAGCGGATTAAAAAGGAGCCACAGCCTGCGCATATTGATCCCCCAGATTGCCATGATTACCTGCGAAGCCCATGTGTTCAAAAAACGCCTTCGAGCAAAAAACACCAAATTTTGGTCGTTGTGCGGGAAAATATCGCTGTTTGAAAAGACGGCTATTTTTGTGGAAGGTAGCCTGGCTCATCATACTCATCTAAAATGTCCTTTTCTTCTTTTTTTTTCCGCCCTTTCCGCTTGTTTCCGCCTTTGTTCTGCTTGTTTCCTCTCCAACATGCACTCTACCCACGAAGCTCCAAAAAAGGTCGAAGTTTGGAAGATGTCGTCTCATGAAAAAAAAAGAGTGTTTTCTCGCAACGACCGAGGGGGGAAAAAAAAACGGCTTCACAGGTACTCCCAAAACCTCAACAATCAAGCATCCCAAAGCAAATGACCTGCCGAACAACGTGTTTTTTTCTTCCTCCGCCCATTTTGCGAGCCCGCTCTAAGATAGGCCGTTTCTCACATGCCAACAGTCCCGGATCACGTAGACCCGCAGCTGCTGCCGGGAGGTGGTGGTCCGGTCATTGACCAAGCCATAAATGAACTCCACCACATTCACCTCGGACTCGATTCAAAAAGGTGCGTTCACTGAGCTCGCAAAAATTGATTGGCGCATATGGGCACAGAAGCTGACCAAAAACGGACCAAACCAACTCTGTCGTTGAGCTCTCCATTGCCGCAGTTCTACAGAGATATGCGTTTTTCCCTAGGGCGCATGTCAGCGCTTTAGGTTAATTAAGGGCGGGAAAGGGAAAAGCGGAGATTCATGCCCCATGGTGCTGCAAAACAAAAAACCGCAAGCATCTAGGCAAGTAGCTGGCGTCCCACAAGCAGCGGCCACATGCCTTGGGCATGGGGGCCGAGGGGCCGAGCCCTGCTCCGGGTCAGAACCCTGCCTGCTGGCCTGTCCAGAATCTTTCTAGCTTTTCTTTTTCCCCCGATTTACATCACCTCAAATAAGGAAGAGTAAAACATCTACATGGTGCACCCCTTTTGCGCCCCAGTTAGAGCGCCATAACAAAGGCAAGCGACTAACTATTTGGCTAGGGATCCATATCATTTTGCACAGCCCTTCCACCGGCATTCATTTTGACGTTGCAAGGCGCGTATCAGCAAACGTTTCAGCAAACAGTCAACGTGTGAACCGGATAGGAAGGGCTGTGTGGCTGATGGCTTGAATCATCACTTCGGCAAGCTTCCTGTGACCTCTGCCGAGACAAGCAACACTTTACCTTTTCCCCTGATCTTCGGTCTGGCAATGTTCTTGATAAAGCCGCATCTCCAACTTTTGTTTGACTGATGGCTTGAGCAGGGACCGTTTCCTGTGAAGGGCAGAAAAGCCAAGTACATGAGCAAGGCTTCCCACTTACCTGGAACCTGCGCAGTTTCGAATTGGCATCATCAATTACCCTCTTTCCAACAAAAGTTGCCGAGCGAGGTTATACAAAAAGCAACGGCGTGTTTTTTGTTTTTCCCGCCTTTTTTTGGTATTGAAATATTTATGACCGTAGAGCTCAAGGTAGATCATGGGGGGGGTGACCATATATATATATATATATATATGTTCTCCTTGCACAAGGCTTTGAGTTCGGGGGCTCCCATCTTGACATCTTGACAGCCGCCGCAAGGATCGAGGGCATGGGCCCCCAGCTAAACACAAAACAGACCAACACCTCGACCAATCCAGGGGTAAACATGTCTGAAGCCTTGAGAGCCAATCCAGGGTGCCCATTGGCAAACAAGAGAGGGTGACACAAAAAAAGTATAATTAATCACTTGGGGGGGGTAACAACCGTTTCGGGGGATATCATGTCCAATCGAATCGACGCCAGGGAGCCCATAGGAGCAGCACGCCTCCATGAGGTGGGCGTTGAGATTGGCCATGACCAGCCAGGCGTCGGAGCCCAGTTCCAGCAGAGGCGCCCCCGGGGTGGCGCGCTCCGAAGCCCGGCTGACGCGATCCACCATGTTCTCGTTGTCGAACATCCTGGCGTGGGTTTAGGCTGGGTCTGGGGTGGGTTTGGGGTTGGTTTAGGCTGGGTTTAGGGTTCTCTTTGGTCCGGATGCCTCTAAGGCGAAAAAAGCAAATCGTAGTGGTCCCTACATGTTTCTTTTAAAAAAAGGGGGCATCAGTTGGGCTCTAGATGGGGAGCCCCTCAAGATGGGTGGTTTCCTGATTGAGATGCCAAAAAGGGTACCCCAAACTGGTGTCTGAGTTTGCCCCCCTTTAAGCCCACAACTGCTAAATAGTGGGGCCAGGCACACCTTTTGCATGTCCCTATGTTTGGGCATCTTTCCAGCCCGAGCCATGGGCTGGGGACAATCACCCCAAAATCTGTGACACCAAAGCGGAATCCGTAGATACCAAAGCGGGATCCGTATCCAAACATGTTTCTCGGTATTGCAGAGCATGGCCTGGAGTCTCTCACCATTTCATGAGATATACAGCCAGGGTATAAACATTTTCCCCTGCGGGTAGTGGTGTGGGGGCAGTGGAAGCAATCATCTTAGAGAGTCTCTGCGTTGGTTCCCTTATCCGCCGACTCTAAGAAATGCTTCTCGGCTGTTTTGGGGCATCATCTGACAAGGCTCGGAAGGAGCTAAAGCGTCGACGCAACAAGAATCACCATGGCTTTAATCAAGAAAATGTTTCAGTTGCCAACCCACCGCACGGCCTTTCTGATTCTAAGCTTTGGCGAAATCCCTGCCAGAAATGTAATGAAACAAATTCGTTCAGCATGGCAAAAGGCGAGCATTGTGTTCCTCGCACCTCACGGCATGCCCTGCTAATTCAGCAATTGACGCCAAGCGAGTCTGCATTCGCCGCTGTGGCATTGCGGATGCCCGCGTGGCTAAACTGCCGCGCTGAGCACTGTATGCCATTGAAAGTGGGTTCTGGGCAAATGGTTGAAACATCCCATACTCGAAATGAAGGAAACCCCCAGTAATGACTCTAAATCATCGTTGAACACACTTTACCCTCAGCTGAGCTCGCTAGAAAATCACTGTACCCGCTCGCCAAGTGCTGGCGAGCTTCAGTGACTTCAAGGTCCGGGTGAAGAGCGTCTGCACTGACACTGTGCTGGCCATGTTCGCACCCTTCTTCAGGCCGTCCACATTCACCTGGGCATGGCGTGGGGAAAACAATCTGCCAAAAGAAGTACCCTCCCAAGAAACATGCGCGCGGGCCTCTTGGGAAGACTAAATTCCTTTTGGAATATGCTCACTTCGATGTTCGCTTGACGGAAACGAAAACCTTTGCCTGACAGGACCGTAAAAGAAACAACACCTGGAGGGCGGGGGCTCCTTGCGGTCATGGCCGCCGTGTCAGAAGGCCCTAGTGAGAAAAGGTGATGTTTAAAAACAAAAACTACTGAAAGGGAAAACAATTGGAATCCAGGAGAGTACCTGATGAAATGTAGAAGATTTGAAGAAACAAAAACACCCAAAAGCGGACCGATTTTGAAAAATTGGCAATTCAGGGGCGTAATGTTGACCCCGGAATAATAAACTCGTGTTTGTTAATATGGGTGGTGTTCTTCTCAGTGATAAACCCCTAAATTTCACCCCGGGACACCGTCATTGTCCAGTTGCTAAGAGGAAACTGCACTGCTCCATGAAGCGCCCGGCGCGCACGGCGGCGCAAGCCTCCTCGGCTGCGCGCTTCCATTGCCGCCGCTGCCACAGCGCATAGACCAAACCCCCCACAGAAGCCACCTCCGCGCGCTGGTTTGGGGTTGGGCCTCTCTCACACAAATCGGCAGAAAAGCATATATGGGTGGGGGTCGGGGGTCATGGGCCCTTTAGGAAATGTGGATAACTGAGTGGGTTTGGAGGGAAGGTTTCTTTTTGCCTAGCTAAGACCCAGTTCAGAAGTTCCCTTCCCGACCGTGAGACAAACGCACTGGCCATGCTAACAAGGAAAAAAAAAAAAAAACCATCTTGACACCATCCAAACGTTACAAAACCTGCAGCAATCCCATCTGATGTGGGTGTTTATTTAGATGTGAGTGCGTGCTTGTGTTTTTTGAGAGCACTCCTTGCAAGCATGTCTGATTGTTCATGCCTGTTCCAGCCTGTGAACAGCGACCATCCCGCTTGGTGGGGCTTGTAGCCATGCCTGTCAGCCTTTGCGTCGTCTCAGGGTCAAACCATTGAACATCCAATCAAGTATCCGGCTTGGAGCGTGGTTCACTAGACAACCCCTCCTTTCCCTTTAAAGGCCACGTCACAGAGTTCCGGCTGCAGTAGTGGTTTCCCCCAGCATTCTCCAAACTTCGACATGTGTCCCCAAGGCGTTTCTGATTGTCGGCCCACGCGCCGGGCAAGGGCTACAAAGAGGCAGCTTGAGTCACGGACTCGAGTTCCAAACTTCAACATATTTTCGCCAAGGCGTTTCTGATTGTCGGCCCACTGGCCGGGCAAGGGCTACAAAGAGGCAGTCGCGGGTTCGCAGATCAGGGTGCGATCATTCGCAACGCCATGGGGACAAGAGGAACCATGCTATCTCACGTGAGCTTAATTTGCATCTCCAAGTTCTTCGCTCCAGGCAAAATGCCGTCAAACCCAAAAGCTGAACCCGCTTATTAGGCTTGCCTGATGCTGGTTCCTTGCTTCCTATCTTCCAACGAATCCTAAAATGGAGCACTTACACGGCACGGGGGGCGGAGGGTCATTCATGCGCTTTCCATTGCGGAGCGCGTAGGTGGAATTCATGCCCACGGCCTCCCGGTAGCGGCGCAGCCAGTTGCCCAAGGTATGAAAATGCTGCCACCGGTCCATGCGTAGCTAAGCCAGAAAACAACACACCAAGGAGCCTCTTGCCACGTTTCGATCTTTCTTGGAATTATCTCAACGCGCCTGCTCTGGGCAAATTGCTGACGGTCCACGCGGCGAGTCATCTGGGGTTGTCCTTGTCTGGCCTCCGCCTATCAAGCTGTCTTGCACACCGTTGCGCTTAGCGAGCTGCGAGCCTCAAATGTTACGACTACTTCCTGCCTGGGCGGTGAAGCGTCCCTCAAAGCCCTGTGCATGCTCGTGCAACTGACAGGGCCTAGAGCTTGCAAACATGATGAACTGCGCGAGCCTCCCTGACAAAATGCCATCAAACTGAAAGTTTGGATCACTAAAATAGATTCCCTTCCGAGTGCAAGTAGCTGACTGCAACAACACAAGGGGCTGAAGCAAAAAAATGCGGCTCTTTTGCACCGGCACGGCCGGCTAGATCACGACAAGGTGCAAGAAACCAGGAAGCGCCCGAGCTAGTTGCGAGCTCAGTTGGGAATGTTGCTTTTGAACCACATGGCCAGGACCGGCTGTTCGCCAGAAACTGTTGCCCAGCCTAGCGGCTATTAAGCGGCCAGCGTGGCCATCCACTCAGGGCTGAGAATCTCAGAGTGCTGTACGTCAAGGCGCCGCGCACCTGAGCCACGGACAAAACCAGGAGGACATAAGTCGCAGTGGTTCCCTCCGAACATCAACCGATGCTAAGGAGCCGGTTAAAAAATTGGTAGGATCAACTTCCTTTGCACGCTGGACACCTGCCAAGTCTGAAATATTTGGAAGGGAGCTGGCAAAGCCACAAGCCCCAACCTGAGCTGATCCCACCATGCCCTGTGAGCTGCTGCCGTAAGCCCGGACGCAAACCTCACTCCAGCTGTAGGCTTGTGAGGTTGTAGAAATGCTCGTGCTTCGGGATCTGCATAAGTCTGGTCACAGCCAATCCCGAAACAGTACCAGCTACAATTCTTGGAGAAACCTAGGGCCGCCACCCTGGAAAGCAAAAAACGCCTTGTTAGAATGGGTTCTTAAATTTCTACGGGCCATTCTGGTGGGTGGGACCCTAATGAGCACACAGGCCTGCGGATCTGTGAATCTGCCTGGCATGCAGCTGAACCAGATTCCCTTGCCTGGGAAGCCTCTCCGCAGGCCCAAGTAGTTTTGGGGAACGAATCGAATCAAATGGAATGTGCAAATGGGCTTGAGAATGTTGCTTGGGCCATCTGCTGCCCAAGGCAAGGCCATGGCAATCAACAGTATAATTCATGTTGACTCCGTATTCATCAACCCCGGTTCATTAAAAAAACAATAAACACGTAGGCGACGGTGAACACTTTCTTTCGGAAGTACTTCTCAGGCTCCCCGATTTGCAAGGCTCTGGCTCAGGTTGCAACTACGCAACGAACAGACCTTGAAATCAAAGTTCAAAGCCGCCATCGGCGGAATTGAGGGCCTTCCGTTCATCAGTTAGGCCCTCCTACAGATGCAGATCCAAGATTTCCTCATCATCGAACGAAGTTTGACCTGCAACAAAAACTCGGATTTTTGGCCCAGAAAAACCCATCACCGTCCACTGCGTGAGTGTAACCCTGTGTCTCATAGTGCACAAAGTATCCCCGCGGGGAATGTCAGCCAGGTCCTGCCCATGCCACTGGGAAGGCCCGAGGTCATACTCAGCACATTGTGGTAGAGAGCCGGTGCCTGGAGCCAGCGGTTTCTCGCGATCCGAAACCCAAAATTGGGCCGATTCCTGTGGGCGATTTGCAGAAACTTTCGCAGCTCCGAGACCCATGTTGGAAAGCTTGCACATGTGCCATGACCGTAGGAATCCTCGTCTTCCATTGTGGCACGCGCAAGCGTGCATGTACAAACATGCAGATTCTGGCACAGGGCATCCGATATAGATGTGGTTTGATTCATGGTTTTCCTGCTTCCTTCTCAAACATGCCTGATTCTGCAGCCCCTGCAGTTCGGTTGCATTGTTTGCAGGATTTCCTTTCAATATTGGGTGTGTTCCAAGTGCGACTTGGGAGTTGAGCGCGCACTGTTTCAACGCAGCGCCCTTTCGATTCAATGGAAAAGCAATTCTCCCCAATTCCAGCTCTGTTGAAATTAGGTTTTCTGGACCGTGCAAAAAATGGTGAAGTCTTTGCAACGGGCAACGTCAGAGAGTTCCTTTGCCAGGTCCATTCAGTACCGCTCTCTCCTCCAAGTGCTCCGTTGGCCCAGCCGGGAGGGAGGACTTAGGCTGTTGCTAAAATGATGCATGGCCGTTGCACCGCATGGTCGGTGACTGGCCTGGTAGGAGAAGGCCATGATTCGCAGCACCGAATAGGCACTTTTGAAGGAGCACCGCCTCAAGTCCAAGTCTTTGGCCTCCGGCAGGTTCCTCAAGTCCCGCTCCTTCGGATGCAAGTTGGAAAAAAATTGGAACCCTCTTGGTTGGCGCACAGACTGCAAGCACCCGGCGTACCTCCTGAAAGAGGTTTTTACTAAGTCTTATCACCATATTTTTGCTATAGTGTGATGGACCCAGAGTTGTGAGGCGCCCAACTCAAAAGTTGATCAAGTTAGTAGGCTTCACAGCAACAGGGCGGGAAAGAGCGAAATCAGGGCCCGTTGCCTATAGAGGGATTCTTTTGGCGGGCCGGCAAATGTCCCATAGAAACTCAGCGAAGAGACTGTGCCTGCATGTTAAGAACGCAGAAGAACCAAACCCCCACACCAAAACCGGATGCAGCACAAGAACCATAGATGCAAACCCGGGTTCTCACCGCTAAAGCTGCTTTCTGGTCGAGACCTTGGGATAGCCAAGTCAGCTGATCCTCCCCTACAGGGTAGGTAACGCTCATGATCCTACACAAAGTGAGCAGCTACAACCACACGGATTGAACCAGTAACACATTGAATAGTAAGAGCATTCGACACCAAACAGCAAACGGGTTCGCGGAGGATCTGTCCCGAATCACATAGACCCGCAGCTGCTGCCGAGAGTTAGTGGTGCGGTCATTGACCAAGCCATAAATAAACTCCACCACGTGCACCTGGGCTGTCGGCTGCAGCAAGCTCGGCGGCCTCTTGGGGTTGGGGCCTCTGCCACTAAAGCCAAGCAACCGGCGTCCCACAGGCAGCAGCTACATGCCTTGGGAAGCACCACGCAACAAACAGCTAAGCACGGAGCCTTGTAGTTCCGCCGTCAAGGAACATGCAAGGTTCAGCGCCGCCGCGCGAGATGCGGCAAAACCCTTCTTCAGTCCATCATCCGAAACCGGAGGAACACTCCCTCGCGGATGGCGTTCAAAGGGGCATACAACTAATCTGCTGATGTTTTGGTGGCCCGCAACCACACATGTTCGCATGGACACCTTGGCCTGGGCTGTCGGCGCTGGTTGCTGCCAGCTACCCAAGCGGCTCTCACTGTGGCGTTGTTGAATGGTAGAGCGGCGGGTAAACCAGCTAGCTAAAAGCAAGCAACGAGGATAAAGAGGGGAAAACCGTTGACCAGGCTTTGGAAATACAATTTGGTTTTAGAGGAAGGCAGGGGTCAACCGTGGCTTCAGTCAGTGCCGAGCAAGCAGACGACATCACTTCTGCCCCAGTGGCAGCTGACTATTGGACTGCTCGGTATTTTTGTAGGTAACGCTTGTTGCTTATGGGCCGGGCCATATGGTCATGTAAATCTAGGTATTGGGGGCCCCGGTTGCATCCAGGACGCCCTCGGGAGCAGCAGGCCTCCATGAGGTGTGCGTTAAGGTTGGCCATGACAAGCCAGGCGTCTGAGCCCAGCTCCAGCAGTGGCGCCACGGGCGTCGCTCGCTCGGCTGCTTGGCTCACCAGCTCCACCATCTTCTCGTTGTCGAACATCCTTAATGTTCAGTTTAATAATAGGGGTGTGGAGGGGAACGCCCCCCCATTAACTTACCAGGTTGAATTGGGGGGGTCAACGTTGCCCCGATGTTCTCGGCAGACTGCTCAATTGGACGTTCTTGTGCCAGGCGTTTCGTTGACCTTGATGGACGTGCATTTTCAAACAACAACAAAACAAAACACATAGTTCTTCCATGAATGATGAAAAGCCCGCCGCCAGCGCGGCGTGCCCGCCAAGTGCAAACACAGCATCAAAGACTTCAAGGTCCGGCTAAAGAGCGTCTGCACTGAGACAGTGCTAGCAGGATTAGCGTCCTTCATCATGCCCTCTACGTTCACCTCGGCTCGGCTCGGCACGCGCCAAGCAAAATGCTGGGCCCCATTCCCAACCGGAGTCCAGTTCATTGCAAGCTGTCTGGCTGTGGGTAGGCCAGCTGTTCAGAAATCATAAGCGGGAAAAATATGTTTTTAGGATTGTGACTGAAAGACCGCCTAATAGAAAGAGGCAACATTTGCAGATAGTTTAGAGTTCGTGCTTCTGAAAAGGTGGAATCGTTTCAGGTGTCTTGGTGATGTCGCGCTGGTGTGCTGGTGGCGTCCCGGTGGTATTTTTTTTGAGTG